ACTGCTATGGGAAACGCTATACTGAAAATGGTGAAAATTTGACCTTCGCACCACAAAACTAGAAGGATTGCACACAATTCTCAGCTGCTTGGTAATGAAATGTGTTTTGTGTCCTTTATCTATACAGATGAAGTGTTTTATGCACTAAATGAGGACAAAGTCTGTTGGGGTATAGCACTGATGCTGCTGCACAATGCTGTCAAGTTCAACCTGAAGGAGTTTCAGGAGGTCTGGCAGCAGAGCGTCCCAGAGGGCATGAGTACAAGACTGGACCAGCTAAAGGTGAACCTGTACACCTTTTATCCTTTATGATGTATTCAGAGTGAGAAAAGTGTTGGGAGTTAGAATATAAGCTGTGTATTTGGGCATTTTCATTGTTTTTAATTAAGGAAATCCTCACAAGCTTGGCATTCACTTATCCATATGATTCCCCAGACATATGTTTCGTTTTTATTGAGTTTTTCTCTGTTTCTCTCTTAAGCCAGTGTGTATCCCGTTGTGTTTGAGAAGCTACTTTCCAGAGTTTAGCTTAGTTTCCTGACTGGTGTTGTCTGTATTGTATATCTTCCAGGGCATTGCCCTGTTGGACCGCACCTCCCGCCCGGAGACCATCTGCCTGCTGCGTGTGGAGGACCTCCCAGAGGACACGGTGGAACGCTTTAACCACCTTTTTACACTCCGAGAGAAATGGACAGAGGAGGATATAACACCATACATACAGTTAGTGTTATCCATACAAATTATTAAGGGCTTTGATTAAAGAAACACAAAGAGCTTGTGAGTAACCCGAGTCCCATTTTTTGCTTATTACAATGTGTAACGCTCCATTTCCTCATCCAGAGATCTGTGTGGAGAGAAACAGACCACCGGAGCCCTCCTGACCAAATACGCTCGGTCTTCAATGCAAAATGGGATGAAGGTTTTCAACTCCAGAAGGCCCGTGGCTACGTGAACACACCCACTGTAAAGCTATTTTTGCTGTTTGAAGATGTATCCATGTGAATCTGTTCATTTCACCCTGTCACTTTTTTGATGCTCTGTGAAAATCTGTTTGCTAAAAATGCCTGTTAGCACGTTTTCAGCTGCTCCTTTTTATCTCATGTGTAAAATCATTGAATAATAAAGTTATCAGAAAAACAAGTTTTTGTTTTCTGTTGACAAACTTAGACCTTTTTTTATTGTCGGCAGGATAATGCAATGTTGGAATTGTCCACAAGGTGGTGCTATATGCGGAGTAATATACAGCTGTCAAAAGTTTATGTCCACTCATCTTGGGGATGAATGTCATGGTAATGATTTCTGGGTTTTAATGATTTCCTTGACGTGTTTCTTTTCCAGGGTGGACTGACTGTACAGAAAACATCATTAATGACTTTCAAAAACAAGAATTGTTTGCACAAGTTTGAATTTATTTTGGGTTTTCTTTAATCCACACAGGGTCAGACGTATACATATAGAATAAAATATATATACATACCCCCACTAATATTTTGTTATAAATCCCTTGGCAACCAGTCACTTTTGAGAATTCATCAATACACTTCTGGCTTCTTGATCTTTGACCCACGTTTTTGGCAGAATTGGTAGAGTTCGTTTAAATCAGTTGGTTTCCCAGCACAGACTCGGCTTCTAAGCGTAGTCCACAAATTTTGGGGTTGAGGCTTTGGGAAGGTCATTCCAAAAGCTTAATGTTAGCCTCTTTATCCTTTCCACAACCAGTTTTGTTTTGTGTTTGGGATCTTTATCCTGTTGGAAAACCCAACTATATCCAGGTTTTAACCATCTAGCTGTCAATCTGAGGTGAAGTTGAAGAATAGTCCTCCATAGTTCCATGCACTTTGTAAAATGTACCGGTAGGAAAACAGCCCAGAGTATGATGCTACCACCAACATGCTTGACAGGTGGTATGTTCTTAGTTTTGAAAGCCTCACCTTTACTCCTCCAAAGGTACCGCTTGTTGTGGCTACACGGCTCTTTGTATCGACCACAAAATCTTTCTCAAGAACACATTTGGCTTGTCCATGTGGGCAGCTGCAACTTTCAGTCTCGCTCAGAGACGTTTGTTTTGGAGCAGGGGCTTTTTTCTTTGTCGGCACCCTCTCAGTCCAGTAAAACTTACTTCACTGTGGACCGTCACGCTGGTGTTTCAGTAGTTTTCAGTTCATGCCAGGGTCGAGCTTTGGTGGTTCCTGTGTTGATCCTGAACATCCAAACCAACCTCCAGTCATTTGAGGGCGACAGTTTGGGTCTTCTTTGAGCTCTTGGTGACAAATCTTACATACAGTTCTTTGAAATGCTGATCTTGAAATCTGTAGTTGTTTAGAAATGGCTCCAAGAGACTTTCCCAACTTGTGAAAATCTATAATTCTCCTTAGAGATTCCATGAGTTTCTTGGACTTTCCCAGTATTGGCCAATCCAGTGAGTGCTGTTGATCAAATCCCTTTTATATTGGCAAAGGCAAACCACAAGTTGTGGTCAAGCATGAGCACTAATGAGAAGTTAATAGGCTTTAGCCATGTCAAGTCAAAGGTTGTTGTAGGGTGCTGGTTTAGCTCACTGGATTAATCAGGGAACCCGTATGCTGCTATGGCTAGTACAGAGGGCTGGTTGAAATCTGGCCATTTACTGCATGTCTTTCTCCTGTCATAAAGGCTAAAAAGTAAAAAGACAAGTTGTAGCACCACTTATTAAAAGATTTAAGTCAGTGTAGAAATAAATGCAAGCCTGTATCTGTACTTTTGACCCTGTGTGGGTTAGAGAAAATCCAAAATAGTTTCAAACTGTTTTTCTAAAGTCATTAAAGATGTATGCACTACAGTCATTCCACCATAGAAAAAGAACAACTCAAAGAAATGATGAAAAGCCTCAAATTACCATGACATTCATCCCCTTGATGAGTGGATGTAAACGTCTGACCACAACTGTACATAAACCAAGCATGCTTTAATAAGTCTGGTTCTCCAAAGTAAACAGATTACATTTGAAATTGATTGTTTTGATTCGCTAGCCTGCCTGATGTCTTCTGGTTGATTCAGACTATCGGATTACTCCAGATAGGAAATGAATATGTTTCATGTTTGGACAAAAAAAGACACATGTTAAGCACAGTGTCATGGTTTACAGATTTGTTTAACAAATGAACGATCAGTTTGATCTTGGATACTTTTGACCGGATCTGATCCTGGGAGGAGACACAAAACCCTTTGGGATTGTGCCAGGAAGGGCATCCAGCATTAAATATCAGTGGAGCTATCCGCTGTGGTAACACCTTGTGAATAAGAGGTCACAAGCAATTGAGAAAGCCTTTGCCATTTTCCTTGCAATATTGCAGCTAGCCAATTCATTGGTAAGTAAAATAAAGCAACACTGCTCGCTTCATCATGGAATAATGGCGTCCATTCGGGATGAATATTTGAGGAATATTTGAGGAGTTTCAGAGAAACTCAGGAGGGTTTTCTCCAAGCATGACATCCCGGTGTACTTCAGACCCAGCAAC